ATAAACGTATATAATTAAGTTAAAACATACATATTTGAACTGGAAGTATGGATGTTTTGCTGAACATGGTATAAACGATTAGGTTAAATATTTTATTTAATAAAGAGCAACAAATATATCTTTTATCTATTGCAGTACAAGATTTTATACCAAACCATAAAATATAAACAATTATTTTAATTAAAAAATAGTGTTTCTAAAAAAAAAAACGTTTATCATTACTGTTTTTAATAGTGAATCACCTTTTGAACATTAGACCAGTCTGGTGCTGTAGTAGAACTTGAAGCCTGATTATTTAGCTTCTGTAGCACTTCAATATTAAAGCCTAGGCTTTCCATAAAATCTATAAAACTGAGTTCTGTTAATTCGACTGTTTCACCTAAATAGTTACAACACATATTTTAGATTAAAATTCACGAAATATTTAATTACTCATATTATGGAACTGGAGACATATATTTCGGATAATAGTTACTTTTTGTTTGAAACAACAGTTTTAAATAGAAACTTACCATACTAATAATGAAATAAATTTTATACTTCTTTAGCTGTGAAATTTATGTATTAATATCGAATCAGAAACTCTGATTGTTATTAATCCTTTTTCAACATTCGATAAAAGTTTTTTTTTGTGATAATAATTTTAATTTAATTACAATTTTTTTTTTATTAGTAGGTACAAACCTTCGCCTTCCCCTATTTTTGCCTCTAACCATTCAATGATCTTATCTTTAGATATCCCTGGATTTAGATTCAAAAGCTTTTGATATAAGTTGGTTATTTCAACTGCCTGAAATATATTTATGAATTACATTATGTTTTATTTCAAAAATTGTCTTCAAGCTATTTGGTGTTAATAAAAAAACACATCATGGTTTTAGGGACGAAATTTACAACAAAATCTTTTAAAAGGTTTTTATAATTAAATCATTTTTAATTTAATAGCAGTGTACTACGAAAGATTAAATAAAATCAAATGGTGCACTCTAAAAAATCGAATAATTTAAACAAACATTAATAATTTCTTATTTAGTGCGACCAAACAATGAAAAATATAATCGTTTCGTTCAACATTGTGGTCAAATCTTATGAAATATCTTATCAAATATTATGAAACACTTATTAAGAATAGGCATTTGGGCGTATTTGTTTTTGGTTTTTAGCTTAAAACTTTAAAGTTACCCGTGTTTCGGGAGTGTCGGCGGATTTTGCTGTGCGATAATTAATAAGTATTAAACACAAAAAAAATAGATAGTTCGCGTTCATTTTTCCCGGCTAGCTTTTAATTTTAAAGTACGTCTTATAGGAAACAAAATAAAAGATAAATGATATTATTGCGGCGTAGTGGCTGGTTCTTATAGTGTACGCTCTAACAAGTGTAGTGAACACATATGGTTCTGTTTGTTTTGATCCAATATTGCTTGGAACTTCAGAAAAACAATTTCCATAGGGCTTCAACTAATTTAACAAAACTTTAAAAACAAGTTTTAAAAATCCATAATAGCCTTCAAAGTCAACAAATTTTAGTATTAAATCCAAATTTTAGGTTATTTCATTATAAAAATGTAATATGATATGTAACAATATATGTTAGATAATATCCTCGAACTGAATTTCAAATTGAATCTGTCATTTAAAAAATGACATAAGTCACTGATTTTTCAAAAATGACTTTTCGTTTTTTTTTTTAATATTATTATATTATAAGTAGTGATTATTTCTGATCTACAATATCCTTGTGATTTATGATGGTTATACAGGATGATTTTTGTTTTATCATGGGCCACTTAATATCTCATAGTATTTAATAGGAATTACATTTTTTTTTATATTGTTTTTATACCACGTAATCTCAATTTTTCAGAACTTTTTTATTTTTACCCCGGTCCCAACTTTGTTTTTGATAGCAACTTGTGAATTTTGAATATCGTATACATTTTATTAACTTTATTAATTGAGAAGAATGTACTAAATAAAAATCATTTTTCAGACGAGTGTGCAACCACGAAATAGCATTTTCAAGTCAAATATAACAAATAAACTTAGAGTAGTGGTGGTAGATTTATAGACAATGAAATAGTATATTAACAAGCAGTAACCAGCTACTCGTAGTATCTAAGGTGGCTAGTAAACATATCAAGTTTCTGGCTATTTTTTAGTGTTTTCATAATATCTGGCCTAAAACAAATCATAGGAATATGACCTCTTAAATTATTGAATTTATTTTTTTAGTTCTAGTTTGAACGTTGTTTGAAGTTTACTGGTCGATAACCAGTTTCCATGAAGTATCGTTTAAATTATTGTAGTTTCAATTTTAGGGCAGGAGGAAAGTTGAAGTTATGAAAAACGTATACGTTATTCAAAATTAACAAGCTGCTATTAAAAACCAAGTTGGGAGTGGGGTAACAATAAAAAAGTTCATGAAAATTGATAAAACATGGAATAAAAGCAATATGAAAAAAAAATGTTATTCCTATTAATTACTATGAGATATGAAGTGACCAATGATAAAACATAAATCACCCTGTATAATCATTACTACTGTGATCACAATGTGAACTTGATATATGTTAGTTTTAATCATCTTTTTTTTTGCATAGATCATGCTTTAGCATTGGCCCCCCTGCCCAAAAACGACTTTAAATTTTGACACTAAATTGCAATACTAAAGTAGTGCGCCTACTACAAACATAAGTTGCCATCGAAATAATAACGAGTCGACGTCGTCATGCATAACGATTGGCCAGAACATACAATTAAGACTACACTATACATAGGGTATATTCCATTATCATGAGTCACACTCAATATATCCTAGGGTTTAGTAAGGAATTTAATTGGATAGATTATTCACGTTGTTTCTATAAATTGTGATATTATCTGTGGTGGTTACCATATTTATGCACTTGTTACTCAACAGTTGGCCGGTAATGTTTACAGATCGAACCATAACATGTTGTTTTCAATATCGTACAATGGTGCTGTATTTTTTTACTGAAAAATATTTGCAAATTGTGTATAGTTAAGCACAAAAGTCTGAAAATACATTTTTAAAGAACATCTGCTGTGACCCAATTACAATAACATATTAAATACAACACCATTATACGATATTGAAAACAACATGTTATGGTTCGATCTGTAAACATTACCGACCAACTGTTGTGTATATGAGTAAAATCATGTTTTTCGAATCACATTGAAACATTTATAAAACCTATAGTATTATTGTTTTATACCAAAAATATTATTATACAATTTAAACTAGGGTTGGGCCTATCCGGATAGGCCCAACCCTAGTTTAAACCCTAAGTTTTTGAATCATGATTTTTTTTAGACATCTGTTTCTTAGTATGTTTTTTTTTTAAACCTTAACTAATATCATATTATATTAGTTTTTATGATCCTAGTTTCGAAAGACCACACCTCTAGTTCGGTTAATCATTTATAAACAAAAAAACAATTTAAGTTTATTATCAAAAATTTAGGTTTACCCTATTTCTTAAAAAAAAAAAAAAAAACGCTATTCATTTATTATAATATTTTGATTTATGGCAAAAAAATTGAGGGCACTCTTGTAGTGAGATTTGGTTAGGTTAAATAATCGTAAAATGTTGAAAAAATATTTTAATGGTTCACAATAACCTTGTACTAGTTTTTATGATTTAAAAATGTGTTCACCTATAATTATATACGTATATAGTTTAAGTTTGTCATTTTGACGGCGTAAGATTCCATAACACTATAAATATATTCTCGGACTGAGCGATCGCAATTTGTTATAATTTCAATCATCAAATTACCAATTCAACATTTTTAGTACATTATTCTCAATTAAAAAAGTTAACAAAACGTATACGTTATTCAAAATTCCAAAGTTGCAGTCAAAAAAAGTTAGAAGGGGTAAAAGTAAAAATATTAGTGGTTTTTTGTTCGTTATTTTTTTTTATGATACGTAGGCTATAGCTGCTCAACGAATTGTTTACGATTTCTGAACAAGTTGTTTTTGTAATATGGTCACAGCAGATGTTCTTTTTGTATTTATTTTCATACTTTAGTCAATAACTACACATAAAAAAGCAATATAGAGAAAAACAAGATACAAAGAACTCCTTCTAGGATTACAATAAATAACAACAATAATAATTAACAATAAATTAATTGAAAAATGTTTTAGAGTCGACACGATTTAAGTTGGTCGCCTTTCTGTATTCATTTATTACTATACTCAATTAATAATATAATAAAAATATTTAAAAATACCTCATGGCTGTTTACCATTAGCTATTATTCTTTTTACTTTTTTTATAAGTTTTATTGCTTTAATATACCATTAAAACCTCATCAATGCTAAACTCTATAAGTTGAAAAGCCCAGCATGTTGATCGGTTAAGTAGATCGGTCCAGTAAAAACATTTTTTGTAAAAATTAAATTAATCTTAAGTTGAACGCTTGGACCTTTTCTTAAAATCCGGCACTGTGATTTAAGGATAATGTGTTTGTCTTTGACATTTTATTGTTCTATTTAGGAAATAAATATGTGTGAAAGTGAGGGAAAAAATATATAAACATCATGAATTATTATAACAAGTCGGCATTTATTTACATTATTTAATTTTATACAAAATATAATAAATTAATAATGTGTTACAGACATTTCAAACAAATTTCGAGTAATTATTATTAAAATTTGTAAAATACTATTATGATTGACAACAAAAAATAAATGTAGGTTTACTTTTAGAAGGTGAATTAAAATTAAATATTAATTGGTGATGTTTCGTTCGCTAAACGTATATTTAGGTCCCGTAGCTCTTCAAGACTTAAATTTAGGCTTTCCATTAAATCATGAAAGTTGGAATCTGATAAATCGACTTTTGCACCAAACTCATCATATACACGTGTTATTAATCCTTTAAAATTTGATAAAAGTTTATTTATTAAAATAATTTTGACTTTAATTTCTATGAAAATGTAATGTTTTTTCCGTTAGTACATACCTTTGTCGATCGCTGTCTCTATCCATTGTTGGATCTCATCTTTACGATTAAGTAACTGTTGTGTTAGATTCACTATGTGTAGATTTCGAAGCATATCCTGTGTTTCTTTTATTTCAATTGCCTGGAATATATTTATGAATCACATTATATTATGCTTATAAACCTGTTTACAAATTATACGGCTTCGATAAAAATACATCCTGGTTTTGCGAACGAAATTTACAAAATATCTTTTTTTAACTTAATAACTTGGTTCTCTTATTTGAACTGGAAGTATGGATATTTTGCTGAACATGGTATAAACGATTATGTTAAATATTTTATTATATAAAAAACAACAAATGTTTTTTTTTATCTATTGAAGTACAAGGTTGTATACCAAACCATAAAATATAAACAATTATTTTAATTAAAAAATATTGTTTAAAAAAAAACATTTATCATTACTGTTTATGACTATTGATACAATTTAATGATAGTAAATCACCTTTTGAACATTAGACCAGTCTGGTGCTCTAGTAGAACTTGAAGTCTGATTATTTAGCTTCCGTAGCACTTCAATATTAATGTCTAGTCTTTCCATAAAACCTATAAAACTGAGTTGTGTTAATTCGACTGGTTCACCTAAATAGTTACAACACATATATTAGATTAAAATTCACGAAATATTTAAATACTTATATTATGGAACTGCAGACGACATATATTTCGGATAATAGTTACTGTTTGTTTGAAACAACAGTTTTAAATAGAAACTTACCATACTAATAATGAAATAAATTTTAAACTTCTTTAGCTGTGAAATTTATGTATTAAAATCGAATCAGAAACTCTGATTGTTATTAATCCTTTTTCAATATTCGATAAAAGTTTTTTTGTGATAATAATTTTAATTAAGTACAATTTTTTTTTTCATTAGTATGTACAAACCTTCGCCTTCCCCTATTTTTGCCTCTAACCATTTAATGATGTTATATTTAGATATCCCTGGATTTAGATTCACAAGCTTTTGATATAAGTTGGTTATTTCAACTGCCTGAAATATATTTATGAATTACATTATGTGTTATTCCAAAAATTATAATCGTACTGTTCAACAGTGTGGCAAAGCAATTTTTTTAAGCATCTGTAATGTTATAGCATATTGTTATCTATAAATAAAAATTAGAGGATGTTATTTTTATCTTTTGAAGTATACTGGATCGTATAATGAACAATTAAGCATAAATAGTTATTCTAATTAACAAAAATTTAATAAATTATGTTCTTGGCTATTTTATTGTATAAATAGCCAAGAACATAATTGGGTGTCTTTGTTTTTGGTTATAGCTGAAAACTTTAAAGTTACCTGTATTTCCTTCATTTCGGGATTGTCAGCGGTTTTTGCTGTGCGATGATTAATAATTGTTAAACACAAAATTATTAGATACTTCGCGTTCATTTTTCCCTGCTAGCTTTAAATTTCAAATTACGTCTTATAGGAAACAAAATAAAAAATGTATAATGTTACTGCTGCATATTGACTGGTGTTTTTAGTGTAGGGGCTCTAACAACTGTAGTGAACACATATGGTACTGTTTGTAATGATCCGATTTTGCTTAGAAACTCAGAAAAACAATTTCCATAAGGTTACAACCAAATTAGACAAAGATGTCCAAATGAGCTACTTCAAAAATGAGAAAATAGATATATTTTATATCTCAATTTCTTATTTTGTATTATAAGCTTGTAGTGTGCTGCCAAATGATGGTAGAGATTTATGAGTTATGAATAACTTAAGTATGCCCCTGTTGATGTATTGACTTTTTAAAATTGCCTTCATTTGTACGATACTGTGAGTTACACCACTATGGTTTCAACCCCCTTAGTTAGTGATTGATAAATCAAAACCAAACCATTAAAGTTGGGTCTGGTTCTTCCACAATTTTTTTGTAGCTTTATTGTTTTTTTTTTTTTTTTATCAAAAACAATATTTCCAAATGTTGTATATACGCACACAGTTAACAAACAATACCATACGAAATTTTAAGATTTGTTGTTTATCGAAACCTAGTGTTTTTTATAGCTTATTTTATTGAGTACAAGAAAAACTGTTTGAAACTATTATGATCGTTACATAGGTATATTGATAGAATCACTTAAAAATGAACACTTCGTTCCTATCAGTAGATACATATTATAAATGTATTGTCAACTTTGTGTTTAATACCGTAGATTTATTTTGCTATTAATTAACACACATTGATAGTATTTTAAAATAAATCTTGTACATAAACAAAATTGGTACGGATTTTGTAAAAGCCACTTATATATACTGTTATTGATTCTCAAGCTATGCTCGAAGAAAATAAATCAAGAACTGAAAATGTCATATCTTCCCTTTTAAAATAATTTAGATAAAACCCCAATAATATAATCAGCCGGTTTCACTAATGATTATTATATAATATACTCTTAACACATTAATGTCAGTTAACAATTCATTTAAATTTCACGTCTGGTTAAATTAATTAAGTTTCACCATAACATTATTATTATTAAATTCTATTTGTTGAGTTACCAAAATGTTAACTGGGGTACCAATGAGGTTACCTCGATTCCAACGTTCTCATGGGTTATCACGAAATGTGATAAGGAACTGATGAGTGATAATAATATAATTTTATAATTAAAACTCAGCTGATCAACTTAACAATCGTTTAGACAACGTGTTAAGGCTAACGAATCTCGACGAAACCCAGTTTTCACTTACTGATTGTTAAATATAATTGACAATAAGTTAAATCCTTAACAAATGTTGATGAAATCGGCTGTATATGTTTTTCAATTAAAACCTATAGCGCGTTACAACTTTTTTAAAATTCGTATATGGAACGTTATTTAGATAATATTACCCAGAAGGTGTAAAAACTTTTTCAATTTTAATTGTACCCGTTTTCCCTCAGATCATTCGCTTGCAAATATTGTGTATCCAGGTAAAATGTATATTATTATTGTTTCAATATAAATTCTATACAATTGGGGTTTTTAATTGATCCTTATATGGCCTATTTAGCTGCGATATTATCATTGTTGTTTTACGGTGGAAATATTAACTGTTAATGTTTGTAAATACTAATTTTTCTTTGATAAAAAAATTACAGGAGGACTTGGAACGGTTGTCGGGCGTCAGAACGTTGGTCAGTCAACTGTACGAATCGCTTAACGTCGAAGAGCATCAGATCAAAAAGGAAAGGGAACTGTTGGCGAAAATAGAAGACTTGAAAATAAAATTAGAACCGCTAGAAAAGGTACGAACAATACATAAACTGAAAACTAATTAAATTCAAACAACCATTAAGACCATCGTGTCGTTCGGTTGTTAAGTAGCTAACACGAATTAATGACAATTGAAACGTTTAATATCCGTTTAAAGTAATTAACAGTTTTATTATAACAAATCTTTAGGTACTCTAATTGACGGCTCGTTGTCAGATGGATTTGGGTAAAGTTACTTTTTAATCATCGAATCGAACCCTTTCTGTTATGTACAGGACTTTTTTTCTTACTGAACTATATTACCTAAAGTATAACCCTATAATTACCTGAACTATTACAGTTTTTTTTTTATTATTTCCTTACAATATAATTTACCGCGCGTGCGTGTTACGTGCCATGTTAAGGAAAAAGTCTCGATTTACTTTATTGTTTTTTTGTTTTTCTCTTTATGATGGAATTACACGATAGATCTGTGAAATACATTATTAATGTCATTTTTACAGCTCTTTGTCGTCGATGACAGGTTTTTGTCTTCTTTTTTTAACTATTATTCATTTTCAAATAGGGTAAGGTGGTGGAATTGCGGCCACTTAAGCGGCAATTGAAATATCTTTGGAACTAAAAGTCCAGAAACTTGTAAGGTGTTCCGTATACGAGTTTCAGATTTTTATAATTAAGTTAAATTATTTTTTTAGAGAAAAATTTAAGTTTCTAAAAAACATACAAATTATGATCAAAATATCATGATATCAGTACAAACCTATTGTTCAAAGACATTTTATATGTTTAATGGAAATATTAGTTAGGTAGTAAGGTTATTACACAAGTTATGTTAGACCGTTATTATCCTATCAGTTTTGACTGGTACTATTACCCCTATCAGAATTTTTTTTTTAAATGCATGTATTTACTCTCAAGCTGTAATATTTAGTTATATTATGAGCAAATAAATGCAACCCTTGCCAGTTTGTGATGTATTTGAAACAGTCAATATAGTAAAAATTTAGAAATTCTTAATTTGAGGTGAGTTTTATTTTGGAAAAATATTACAACAAAAATGATAAAAAAATTGATGATTATTTTTTGGTGGGAAAAAAGTCGTTTATCATTTGGAAACATCTGGCATTAGGTTCCGGTAACAACAGTTATCAAATGATGTGCTCATCTAAATTTTAGCTATCATATTTCAAGAGATATTCCATTGGCCGACAATCTAACGTTTTGTTAATTTGTCGATTTAGGTGTGTCTGGGTTGCACTTTTCATTCAGATTTAAATTTACATTTATAAACCATAATATAATTGTAATAATAGGTTTTTGTTAGCATTGACAGAGTTTTTGGGTTGTTCGGGATAGTAAAAAACGTCTGTTTAGGAATATATGTGTTTTGTAATTCTTTAAAAAACCCTATTGTTCCTCCAACAGTATCTCAGATAAAATATGTCTGATCGTTAAAAAGGTTTCTCCAATGGGTAGTTTTTTTTTATCTTATTTTTGTTTGGGCGCATATATATCATCCGAAATGGACATTAAACTTCCTCCGGATGTACACCTTTGCCTGTGGTTGGCGTGCGAAATCGATTTTTGTTCGAAAAACAATACAACTTAATCCAGACCGTATATCATAATATTATATAGCGTTATTCGGTTGGTCATTACACCACCGTAAAACAGTAAATGCGTTTCCCTTGACCCCAAAAAAAAAATGGTAAATTGACCGAGTTGACGTGGACAAATTCCAAACCATACGCCATATAATGCGCTAGTTTTGTTTTAGAAATAGGTAAAATTACATTTTTGGTTTTTGTTTACAGTTATTACGGTCTACTATTAAGTATTTGTTCGCACGAATTTGGGGGAACCACTTTTACCCTTAACTTGGCACGGTATCTTTAAAGATGCATGTTATATATTTTTTTATACTATAACTTCCCTCGACCTCAACCTAAAAAAGGACTTTTATGTTAATCAATGTTGTTGTTTTGAAAATTAGCCACTTGTCAAGTGTATGTTTATTTTACAAACTAGATTAAACATTTACCTAGCCTACTCGTGTTCATTTCTGACCTCACCTTCAGCTCTTGGCAAAGATAGACAGCTTATGGGTAAACCTAATTTTTGCAAGGTGTGTACACTAGTTAAACAGTGTCGTCTTAGTCATTATGATAAATATAATACTGTGTTAATAAATCAATGTCTTATAGTCAATGGTCGGTTGTCGAGGTAAGCACATTGGCGGTTACCATGGAAAATCGGTTTGTTTGTTAAAATTAGAAAAAAAAAACTACTTTAAAATATAACAAAAACATGCTTATATACCAAAAAAGATATTTTTTTCAACTCAAGAGAGAACGTGTCAATTGATATTAACTGATTACAATTGATATTGTGACTAACTTAGACTTTCCAACGGGACATAATGTATATAATATATATCGTTTTTGATTTCCTAAATTATAGGTGAGACAACTCGTCCCTGACCTAGTCTACCCTGGGGACCCTAAAGCACAGAAATCGTTCTCAGTTTTTATCAAGCTGTGTAAACGTGAAAAAATACAATAGGTACCCTGTGATCATTATAGACGTGCCCACGACCGTTTATAAAACGGTCAATTATTTTAATTAAAAACCGACAACTGTGTTCTAAACGAGTTGTGTGGCTTGTGGACGGACATATATAATCACACATCGATCGTATCGCGGTTGTGTGTATGTAATGGCTATAATTCTATACTTGCCTCTCTTGCTTTGGGTGAGAGTAGGTAAATGCACTTTAAAGATACAAATCTACTCGGTTAATAGCTGGTGTAAACCGTTGGCTCTCGGTCTAGCACACAACATAATAATTTAAAACAGAAAAAATGTGTTGCATAATATATTATACACCTTGGCTGTTCAGCAAAGTTTGTGCTACAGCGATTATATCATAATAATAACAATAACGATTTCGACAAAATGTGAATTTCCATTTCTTTTTTTTTACATTTTTCACTCATTACCATAATATGTTGTTGTTTTTGCATAGCAAATTTCAAAATGTTTTAAAATACATCATACCTTTGCCATTGCTCATTAGTGTACACTGTTGTTCTTATTGGGCGTACATGATACTCATTACTCTCACACCTTAGTGCATAATGATGGTAATGATAGAAAAAATGCCACTTTAGAAATAAATAGGTAATGCCGTTTTAATTTTTAATTTTCTCCACTCGCTTATGGTTTGAATTGAATTTATACTATACCATTATAACTATTAATTATATATTAAATTGATGGCGTTCAAAACTTTCAAGTGTCGATTAGTATATGCTAGCACTACTACTGTGTGCAATCATAAATGCAATGTGTACACACTATGGCAGTGTTGTGCCGTTTGTTTATTTATTTTGTATTTTCACGCAGTTTAGCACAAAATAATGATTTTAGGAAATGCGTTTCTTTAACGGTCGTGCAAGACAAATTATTAATAATTAACTCTCTCTTCGGATATACATTCTCATATTATACTCGGTACATCAACATATTGTTATCTGATTTTATATGATAAACATTAATGAGCAAAAGTAAAATAAACTTTAGAATAATATTTATTAATTTATGTAAAAAAATTAAAAAAAAATTGGTAATAGTTTTTAATAAAGTTTATAATTAAACTGTATACGAAAATTGATCTATGTCGTTTAGACTAAGAAGGAAATTGAGGAAATTTAAACAAACCGTTAGTTGTAAAATGTTAGTTGGACTATAAATGAAATATACCATAATACATAGTAACACTAATAGTATGTTTAGACTTGTATAGTAATTAAATGTGTCTATTGTTATAAATGAGTATAATTTCTCCTGAGATGAATATAATATATATAGTTACTATTTAAGTGGAGATTGCATGCGGTCTGTTTTAGACCAAAAAGCCAGACAAAATTTCGACTACTTAGAATGATAAAATAAAATTACTGTATGGTTGGAAACACATTTTTGATTTTTTTTTTTTTTAATGTAAAAAAATTGGGTTTTAATATTTCAAAAAAATTGCATATTTAATTTTATTAACTACAAGTAACTGAAAATCTTAAATGAAAATCCTACATAACACAGTAAAGTAGCCAAAGAACTGGAATCTCTTTACAGAATTGAAATTAGTCGAAATTGTGTCTGGCTTCTTTTAATCTAAAATAAACCAAAATGGCTTTTACTCGTAGAAAAAAAGTATTTAAATTAAAAATAATTCCTTGCAGCTTATACGAATAATTGATTGTCATGGTCGAAATTGATTAAAAACCACTTTTTCTTAAATATTGCCTATACAAAACTCCTTAAAAACAGACCGCATATGCAATCCTCTTAAATTATAAATTCTTTTTCTGTGAGTTGCCATTAATAGTAGGTATAAAGGGGGGAGGGGGCAGGATATAATTCGTTGATCCTATTTTTTTTTTACAAGGACCTGAGAATTAAAAAAATAAGTATGTTCTATCAATAATGACCTGAAAGGTACTAGTATAAGTACACCATTAGATGCAGTTTTTAGACGCCTGATAAAATATTCATTGATTTTCTATCCGTGTAATGTTTTTTCGGCACGTGACATGATTGGAGTTAGATTTGAGACGTTCAGTCGGTAGCTTTAAGACGGTTGTATATTTTGTCGATGGCAGATAAAAAAATGATGATCAATGATGATGTTTTTTCATCCATCATCATCATTCGTCATTTGAACGCAACAAATTTAATGGTATGTATTATTTATTAAAAAAAAAAAAATGTAACGTAGGAGATTGCTTTTAAAACCTAACTACAGCTCATCCTTAACCGGTTAAGCGCACGTTGTGTATAGTTTTATATCAATTTTTTTGGTAGTACTTTTAGGACTTTTAGATTTCCAACAGGAGAGTCTGGGTGAGGAGATTTAGAACAAGAATATATATTATTATTATGTTATAGAATTGTAGGTTTTATCTATACTTGAAGCGCACAAATTTTGAAATACAAATATGATATAAAAAAAAAAAACATCATATGATTGAATAAATTAAATAATGTTAATATTTGATGACAACCGAAGCGTTAAATTGAACAACATACCTTTTTGATTTTTAAATGCGGGTTGATAAAAAATAAAACTTGTAAGATAATATGTTCAATCTGTTGGCGGTTTACTTGATTTTTGCCGTCAAAAATGAATAAGATAGATAGGTGTGTATTGCTTAATATATTATATTGTACAATATACAAACACACAGCGCGGTTATGCTTGGAGATAAATCAGATAATAGAATGTCATGAATATAATATCATAACGCTGTTGATAAATGTATAATGCAAGGCATTTTGGTGTTGTGTTTAATGTGCCATAAAATAACTTGCAAACGCATATGTATTACGAAAGCAAAATGTTTATGCGTTTTTAGCTTGCTAGACAATAATATTATATTACATTGTAAGCGGCATACCGGAAATGATGAACTGTTCAAACGGTTTTGAGTGTCAGTAATAATAACGAATGAACTCGGCTGCCGCCTGCCTTCCCTAAATCTCTAGTTTTCAAAGATCAAGATTATTGATATTAATTAGGTATTGAAAATTTCCGGAAAAATTGAAATCTGGAAAAAAATCGGTTTTTTTTTTTGAAAAATTGAGGGGGGGGGGAAAGGATAAACTGTATGGCAACATATGATACTACACAATATATATTAACTATGAACTACCTACCTTTTTTAGTTATTTTTATTTTAGATTCCAAACGGGGCGAGGAATGTGTTGGGTTTTATCGAGATTTTTTTTTTCAAATTTAATATTTGTTATAATTTTTTAAAAACTTTTATGAAACAAGCACCTAATTAAGCTAAAATAATTTTGGATTTAGTCGTCGCTTATCTGGGTTAATACTTCTTTTTCACAAAAAATATGACATAATATACATAACATATATATACCTAAATATATTTCTAAAAATTAAAATTTTCCATTCTCTGGTAAAACAATAGTAATAAAATAAATGTAATAAATATAACAATTGACCAAAAATAGTTGATATTTAACAACAAATTTCAGTTGTATAACTTATTAATTATTCAGTATCAGTCTCGTACTATTTTTTTGTTCTTCGGTAAAATAAAAGTTATAAAGTAAATATGTGTATACTAAGTAACAATTGGCATTTAATAACAAATTTTAGTTTATAACTAATTATTATTTATTATTAATGAGAAATCATTATTTATACGGAAATAAAACTTCCTACTTATTATAGGTATCAGATGTCCGAAAAAATTGCGTTTTTCTGAAATGTGTATTATATTTTAAAAAAATCCCAATTTTTCCATTTTTTCTGAGCCTTAAGAATAGAACCGTTTTTTTCAAAGTTCATCTCATCAACCTGATTAATGTCTCATTTCAGAAAAGGCAGTCCATCGATTTGGTCGCCAGCAGACAGACTTCGGTGCTGACCTGGGTCGGTCTGGGCCTGATGTCGGTACAGTTTGGCATATTGGCTCGGCTCACCTGGTGGGAATACTCGTGGGACATCATGGAACCCGTCACATACTTTGTCACATACGGCACCGCGATGGCCGTGTACGCTTACTACGTGCTTACCAAACAAGTAAGTAACAGCCACCACATAAATTCCCCTTTAAACGTTAAGTATAGAGGTGGTGTTTTGGTCGAGTTAGGTGGTGTTTTGTTCGCATAAACTCATTGAAGAAATCCGTATTTTCTGATTTGAATACCGACAATGTTTTCTGGGCTTAAGGGGACGTCGCACCTCATAATAATAGCATCAAAATAGTACTTTTGTATTTCCAATGGTATGGAGTCTAAAATTCACGCAAAGAAACGTTAAAAGAAAGTAAAATAAAATGCCAAATAATGACAAACTGACAAATAAAAAGGTACAATCACTTATCAGTTATCACCTAATTTAATGACCAATGAGAACGTTGGAATCGAGGTAACTGCTTTGGTAACCCAAGTAACATTTCGGTAACTCGACAAATAGAATTTAACAATAATAATGTTATGGTGAAACTTATTTCATTTAACCAGACGTTAAATATAAATGAATTCTTAACTAACATTATTTTAAAAGTGTATTTAATAATAGTTTGTGAAACCGGCTGTATGTCTTTTTAAGTTGTTTTTGTATCGCGCAACGCACAATAATTGACTCGAGTTAATTATTTTAAAACCTTTTTGTAGAAGCTTTCAAAGTTTTTTTGTAGGAATTGTTGTTGCTGCGAAACGAGAGAGAGGATAATTGTTTAAAAACTGTTTCTCGTTCGTTAAAACTTTTGTAAAGTCTCACTCATGTTTGTGCGTTTTCATAATTTAAACGTCGCCTGTTTAAAAGTTTAGTATTTTTGAAATACGCACTGCGTCTTGGCTAAAATACCGTTTACAAAATAATTATATTGAAATAAAACGACAAAAAAGAAAACAATTGGTAATGTAACGAATATTATATTTTAAACACAACATACATTTCTAAATAAAATAGGAATTTGTTTTTTTTATCTTTTGGTTTGTTTTATGCCTATACGTTGCCCCTTAAGAGGATCGCATGTGGTTTGTTTTTAAGGAGTTTTATTTAGGCAATATTTTTGATAAAAAGTGGTTTTTAATACATTTCGACCATGGCAATTAATTTGCCGGTTAATTTTTTATGTGCTTCAAGATATTGTTTTTAATTTAAATATTTTGTTTCTATGAGTAACAGCCATTTTGGTTTATTTTAGCCCAAAAAGCCAGGCAAACTGGCGACTACTTAGGACTGCTTAGGTCCAATTTGAATTCTGTGGGGGTGGACGATTTTTTTTTTTTACTTTGCTCTGTTTGGTTAAGTTTTAGAGTTAGAGATCTGAAAATTAAACCCAAGGTAGATGTAAATTATCGTATATTGAGCAAAATAAGGTACAAGTCTCTCTAAACTAAGTTCTCATCAAGTAGGAAAAATTGTTTTTTTTGGGTAAATATTCACTCCAAAAATATTCGGCTATGATAAGACTAAGTATTTTTAAAAGTCAATGTAAATTATACGATGGGTACAAAATAACAGCACAAGTGTTTGTGAGCCATGAACGTTCTTAACTTTGTACAATTAATCATCTTAACAAAACGCAAAACATACAATTTCTATCGTTTATTGGTTTAGAAAAATAAAATAAATTGTATTTAAATGATTTAAACACACCTAAATAATTATTTATGTTTAGTTTTTATTTATTTTGTCTGCAAGTATATTGCCTATGTGCGACTTACAACAATTATATTGCAATAAATTGTTGAAAAGTTAAAAGGCATAATATAGAAATAAACTTTATTATAGTCTACCATATCTACTTTATTATGTTTTCCATATGTTATTAAACATTAGCTGGTTTTTTGGGGGGGGTTTTGGAAGTAATTAGATTATTTTAAGTTATAGCGTACCGTAATTTTAAGATGATAGACATGTATATTTTTTAGGATTAATAATGATATGTCAAAATACAAAACAAAGTATCCTTTTAAAATAAAAGTAACGCAAAGAAATCTTGTTTATTAGGTTTTTAAATTAAGAATAATAATTTGCTGAAAATTGAGACTAGTCGATAATCAGTTTTGGATAATTGCTTTTGAAGTGATTAGAGTTTAAAGTTCAAACGCATTCCACCTGCCGTCCTAAATTTTAATCTTTAACAACTTTAAAAGTAATTATCAAAAACTGGTTATCGATCAGTCAAAATGTTCAGCAAGTTTTTCTTAATTTTTAAAAACTTAGGTTCAATGTATACGTTACCATTTAAGTTTCAAAAGTTGATAGAGCTCTGGAAAATATTAAATATGGTAAATACTTTGAAACTAGAACGGTAACCCAAATGAGTATAAATTAATTTAAAAAAAATAATAATATTAAAAATATTCACTAGAACAAAAGTTATTTCATTTGTCCAATTATTGTGGACCACTCTGTATATATATATACACACACTTTTGTACTATATTTTGTATTATTAGCTTTTATTTAAACGAAAATACATACTTTAACTATTAGGCAACAGCAATTTAAAACAAATTAAAATTGACACGGTCAAAAGTAAATTCAATATTTTACAGATCTTTTTTAAAAGATCTGCGCTCAGTAGGAAGGATAGTTAGAGCTTATAACAGGGATGGGTTGAGAGCTAAGAACATATTCTGGAGAAGGAGTGTGGGTGTCGTGAAAGGCTAGGAAACTAAATTAAGTGGCTGTTCTATTAGTGGATAGGGGCAAAACAGTTGGCAGGATAGTATAGTGGGACAGACTGTGTAGTTTGCAGAGTAGACCGCGTTTAAACTGGCCAAGCGATTCGGATGACTTTATGAAACGACCATATTATTATAGTCTTGAAAGGGCTTTGAAGAATGATGTACAGAATGTCTCAAACAGAATGGCAGGGTTTCAAACGGCTGTAGGTTGTGAAGTATTGGACCTACAGCGCTCTGGTAGGGCTTAAATGAAAGAGATAGTTGTCAAGCTTCGAACGACTGCCACTAGATGTCTCTACAGGTGTTTGAAATAACGAGTTAGACTTATGTGTGGCGAGGAGATCATCTGCATACTTTTTTTTTAACATATTTTTTTTTAACATTTTTTTGAAATTTAATTCACTTTTGTCTTTGATCCAACGCAGGAGTACTTGATGCCGGACGTCCGCGACCGCCAGTATCTGATCACCATGCACAAGAAAGCCAGGAAGTCCGGACTGGACTTGCACGCCTACAACCAGCTGAAGGATCAACTTGCTTGCGTACAGACAAACTTGGCCCGACTCAAGGACCCGCTGGTGCCACCGCACCGGGCTCAGCTACTGTACGACCCTTTGGCCGCTGATTCGTCCGACGAAAGCGGTCTGCCAGGAATCGTACACAAGCTGAAAACGCGTCTTAAGAACTTGAGGGACGACCTGAAGGCCGACGAAAGATATTGAACATGCTTAGCAAACAGCATAGTGCATATTACCAACTGACAACGTTGTTTTGATTGTTTTTCTCTAATTATTGGTGCTAAGAACGTGGAACGGTCGGTGTTTTTTAACTTATATTATATTATAATCCTTATTTTTATTTATTGAGATTTAAAACGGGCTTCGACAGCTATAGGAGGAGGTCTTTGACCTGTTTGTACGATTATTATTATTATTAATCCTTAAATTATACACTTACAATGTTAGACGACTTTATCTCTCTCGACACAGGGTTAGAATATTATTATTATTATTATTATTATTATGCATATATTAACTATTGGCACAACTAATATAAACTTTTTTTTTTTTAATCATAATATATACATTATAAACATACTCTATACATTTAATTGCTCTTATTCAACGAGAATCTACATAGATACATATTGTACTACTTAATATTATTAAAAATAAGCTTTATTATTTTTTTTTTTACATATATTTTTCAATCTTTGTTCGACTAGTTTTAATTTAATTTTACATCTATTATTATTATATAATGTCCTAAACGCTTATCGTTACGGGGACAATCGTTGGTCGAAAAGCACAACAATGTATTACTGTACAATCAATTTTGATTTTAGCATCAGGGTTGTCGTTATAGGGGAAAAGTATATTATATTGATAAAACGATAATATTTTACGAGCGTTCAATCGTTGCCGTTCATTGGGTATTCGCTTTTAAGTATCGGCTCAGTTAAACGCTCTCCGACGGAAATATTAACAGTTGTGATAAATAAAGAAGCGCAAATTTTTAAAAATTTTTTTATTATTATACTTAATAATTATAGGTATCTACTTATGCTTAGACAAATGTTTTAAATTTAACTATTACAAATTTCTTACGTATGTGAATATATTTTTTTTTTTTTTAGTAGTCGAACCGTATAAATAGTTTATTTTTTTATTTTATAATTGATTTTAAAGCTCAATTTATTGTTTTTTTTTATCAAATTAATTTTTTCTCTTTGTATTACAATAATGTTTTTGAATTGTCGAAAGTCTTAATAATATTTAAACTAAATGCTTTTGAAACGATACTAGCAAAGAGCAAGTCGTAGCCGATAATTCCTCCTCAGTCTTTGTATTTGTATTTTAGGCGTTTCACATTGTGTCAGTCTAATTTTATTATTTCACTCAAAGTTGTTTCCTTAGAATAAATGAAATAGAATTTTTTTTAGATTATGTAATACGAATAAAGTATTTTATCATACTGAGTACGACACGGATGTCGTACACCACCTCATAACCGCTACGTGTTATGGCAAAATTTGTTTTTCATTGAATTACTATATATTTAATTTATTATTTTTATTTCACTAACATTATACTTTTTTGATTTTTATTTGTCATTGTGTTTTTTTTTTTTATTACGTTTATGTGAGTATTATTATTATTAAGTTTATTTTTAATGTTAAGTAATTATAATGGTCGTACATACGCTGTTATGGTCCACGACATGTTTACAATCTTCACAACATATACTTAAGTTTTGTTTATTGTCAAATATATATATATATTAGTTTATATTTAACAAATTGTATAATATCGTCCCAACAGCGATGGAAAAATAGTGAAATTTAGTAGCAAACTTTTTAAACATTTTATATTTATTTTAGAAATCTTTTTTATGTTAAATTATTATTATTATATTGCTTGATGTGCAAAATATTCTTGTCTTATATAAATTGTTCGTACGACTAATAACGTTTTTTATATTATAATATATTGTATTGTTAAACTCGTATGCGTTTTACGTTTTTATTCTTCGATTGCTATTTGTCTTTAAAAAGTGTATAAGAATTATTGTGAGAAAAAAAAATTGATATTTTTTATTGTTATTGTAATTTTTCTTGTTATTATCCCAAAACTTCATTTTCAACTATCTTTGATTATTATTGAATAAAAAAAAATATTGTATTTACGATCGCATTTATCTAATTACGATAAATATTATAAATAAATTAATATATATATATATATATATATTGTTTTGATTGTTTGAACCATTATTTTCAACTTAATTTCGTTTATTTATTTTTAGGAGCAATTTTAGAACTTAACAGTTGGAAATTAGTCTGTAACGTGTGTAAAATACACTATTGGAAACCGTTCACGGTAAAAAGTTCTATCATTATTTAAATCCTAACTTTGACTTCTTATTTTAGTTTTAAACATGGTACAGGTACATAAGGGTCTTACCTTCCTTCTGACCATATTCGGCTCAAAAATTCTAAGACTATGCTCGAAAATGAAAAAATTCACCCTCTTGTGGGGTTGAGGAAATGAAATTTGGATTTACCATGCAATTATTATCCAACAGGGTAAGTCAACACCGGCACAGTTGTACTTGACTTTTTATCATAGTTTTCTTTTTAGAAATCAATGTGTGTGAAAGTGAGGGAAAATATATATAAACATTATGAATTATTATAACAAGTCGGCCTTTATTTATATTATTAAATTTCATACGAATAATAAAATATTAACAATGTGTTATAGACATTTCAAACGGATTTCGAGTAATTATTATTGAAAATTTTAAAATATTATTTTTATTATGAATTTCAAAAAAGAAAAAAATATGTAGGTTTATTTCAAAAAGATTTTGGTGATGCAGTTGGTGTTACTGGTTTGGTTTTTTTTCCTAAACGCTCATTTAGGTCGCGTAACTCTTCAAGACTCAAGTTTAGGCTTACCAATAAGTCTATAAATGTGGGCTCTGTTAAGTGGAATTCTTCACCTATACATAGTTACATAAAACATATTAGAATAGAACAACAGTTGTAACTATAGGAACTTACCATGTAGACTAATAATAAATAATATAATATAATTTATAATTTTTTAGCTGTGAAATGTGTGTGTGTGTATTACTTAACTATAATGATGTCAAGTTATAGTTTGTTTATAGTTAATGTTTTTTTTCACATCAATACTAACCTTTGTCACAATTTTCCTCCATCCATTTGATGATGTTATTTTCATGTTTGGCCAACAGTTGTGTCAAATTCGATTGGTCCAATTCTGAAATGTTTTGCCATATTTGTTTTATTTCAGCTTGCTGGAATTGAATTTATCAATTACACATAATGTATTAAGAATAGGCATTTGGCTGTCGTTTTTTCTGCTCCAGTTTAAGACTTACCTTATTTTGCTTCTCTTCGACCGTTTCGTCGGGTTTTGCTGTGCGACAATTAAGAACTATTAGGCACATCATAACCGTTAGATAATATTTTGAGTTCATTTTTCCCTGCTTGGTGAAAACTTTCAAAAACGTCTTACGGGTAACAATAAAATACAGTTTATAAGATGTGGCATACGGCGTAGCGACGGGGCTGGTGCCTATATCCAGTGTAGGTTCAATTGTTCAAACAAACTGTACCCAGTGAAAACATGTTATTGTGGTGCTGTTTTGCTGCGAGCAAACAGTGCAAATGTCGCAAATAAAAAAAAAATTGTCAGTTTTTCCCAATTTTCTTGGATATCCGAAAATAAAAAACCGATTTTGTGGTTTAGGCTACTATTACAATCCACCTTGGCAAGGTTAGGTTTTAAGGGCTTTTAACTTGCATTAACTACAAGTAATATTGAATATACTTCACAGTATTATTTTTTACTCGAAAGACTAACAATTAGCTTGACCTAACCTAACCAAACCTAACCTCACAGTATTATTTTTTACTCGAAAGACTAATTAACCTAACCTAACCTAACCTAACCGCCCTAACCTAACCTAACCTGACCTAACCTAACCTAACCTAACCAAACCAAACCTAACCTAACCTTAGCTTAATCGAGGCGTCTATTATAGTTTCAAAACCGGCTAAAAGCATATTTTTTGAAAATTGTTCACCAACAACACATCAATCTGAAACTAGACATAGACATAGAAATCTGCGCCTCGTTTATAAGAAAATGACATGTTAAAATTAAGATGTAATGTAGGAAGATTATTATTATTTGTTAAGAGGTATTTAATATTGCTTGAAAAAAGTGTTGTATAATAATAATAATAATTACTATGATTATTGTACTAATTTTGTATGATTGTGTGCATTTTTTAAACATGGCCACAGTGTGCCAATGTTTAGGTAATTTTTTGTTATAATATAATAAAAATGCCCAAAACGCTATACAATTTTACGGCAATTTAACTGGAAAAAAAAATTACTTTAAACATATTATGACTAGTATATCCGTTTACGAAATGTGTGTATATATTTTCTTGTTGTTTTTTTTGTCAGCAAAACGGCAAACGTGTACACAGCTGGTAGTACAAACTAGTATACTCCTTACCTTTTACTTTGTAGAATAAATGGGAAATCGGTTTTTGATAAAAGAGTATTTTTTTTTAAGCTTAAAAATTTTAAATCGTACATTGGTGTTATTTTTTTTTATCCAAACACATAAATAGCATTTTGAAACAAATCTTTTCACACAGCTCGGCACAAAATAATTGTACTTGGGAACATACATGAACATAACTAATAGAATAATAGAATAATATATTGATTTATAATTAAAAAAAAAACTGTATTCAACCTACAAATTATTGATTGCTTGTTTTTGAGCGTAGGTTAGTTGTACAAATAAAGAATTACAAAAAAAGTGTTGGACTTGTTGCACAAGAATCATCATGAAGGGGGGGAAGTTAGATTAAAGATGATGAGCAAGAAATCTGTCCTGGTGGAAAAATATGAATAAATAGACACTGTTAAAGTTTGATTGCAGAGTGTAAAATATGTGATCAAACTCAGAAAGTACGCTTTTTTTCTTGTCTATCCACTTCAACCTTTTTTTAATAGCAGATCAATTTCTTCGAGTAGCAAATTTGTAAATCACAAATTTTATCTATATTTTCTATCCAGAAGAAGGGGTAAATATGTTGATAAGGTTACTAAGTTTAGGATACTGTTTTTCAATGATGTGGACTAGTAGATTGATAAATTGATCACCAGGGCTGTGAGTTTAGTATACACTAATAAATTTAATAAAAAGTTGGACTGAAAAAGGTTGTACACGAACAAATCAGGCAACATCAAATAATAAAAAAATTGTCTTTATATTTTATGGGTTGGCAAAACCAATTGACACACAAATCGCACAAGGCGAGTGCGCTTAAATATTTTAAAACAACGTCATTCAACAATTTATAATATAATTATTATTTACACATGGACGGTCTACTAATTGTAAGTTATAGTTATACAATCTCTTATGTACATATAATGTTATATTTACACGAGAAAAAAGGTGTTCCTCTTTTAACATACACGGTTTATAATAAACGAAAACGGAGTTAGCCATAACGTGTACACAGACATAATATTGTTATTCTACGTAGGTACACCGAGTCGACACAATAAAAATAAAAATGATATTCAATAACCTAATATGGCATCGTTAAAAAAGGAAAAATAAAATCGTGGCGAGGTTCATCGATGTTTCGTGGTAGAATATTGGTCAGCCAACAAACGTTGATATTTCTTTTTTCTACCACCTGAAAAACAAACAAACAAACAATACAGCGTATTAGCATCGGAACCACGTTAAGTAGACATTTCGATGAACACACGACTTACGAAGTAAACGTCATGTGGACGAATAGCTGAGATCGTCTTTAAGCCACTGCGGAATGGTCTTGTGCTCTAGTTTGCGCAACAGCTTGACGAGGGCCGTGTTGTACGGCATGTAGTATTCTCGAAGGTACTTGTACGACTCGGCGTCCATGGCAGCGTACTGTCGGCCTTTGCCTTTTCCCAAACACTTGTTGCCGCCTCGGTCGGTCACCTTGCAGAAGAAACGCTTTTTCACGTCGTACCTAAAAAAGCAAGGTGGGTTTGCAAGCGTAATAAAAAAAAACGTCGATTGTCTGCCGACAGCAGTATAGCGTGTTTACCTGAGGTGAGTGGAATAATCGAACACCGGTGTGACCTTTAAGAACTTTTGCAGTTGTTCCATTACGTCCACCGGATTGGATTTCAGTTGATCGCCGTCGATGATGTGCAAGTTGTTATGATGGAAATAGTCGAGCCAATGTTCGACGTGCAGGGCGTACTTGCCCGGGTTCAGACATCTTGAGCAAAAGTGATTTTAATTAAACATTTTTTTTTTTTTTAATAAAAACAAAACAATGTCGATGTCAACCTGTTTCGGAGATCTTTGAGTGGCTTTGACGCGACAGACTCGTTGGCAGTGATCACTTGGTGAAACGAGTATTTCAGTGTCGTCGGGTCACGGTGAGCCTTTGCGTGCTGGTACCAACTGTACGCCCTCTTGGCCGGCGACACTAATATGGTTACCTGAAATTGACATGGGAATTCCATGAAAGTCCGGTTGTTTTTTTAGAGGTGAGCAAATTTTTGTTATTTGTGCGCCGGGCTTACTAATTTGACGTTTGGCAATAACGCCTGGACTCTTTTCGGCACGATTTCAGAGTCAAAGTACGTGGCCGACTTTTCAAACACCATTTTGTTTTCGATCGAGTCGTTTGCCCGAAAGAACTCCATGTACCTAATTGATACACTCATATTATTATTACTGTGATTTTTAGCTGAAATGGAATTTGGAAGATCGGAATCGATTACCAGTCCAGCCCTTTGTAGTAATTGCGACCGTTGAAAAATTGAATTTCTTCAAACGTTTCTTTGCTCGGCGTGTTGGCCGATACGTTCGGATGCATCGACAAGAAGGTGTACAGAGCCGTAGTGCCGGTCTTTTGGGGTCCGATGACGAGGAATTTCGGAAGGCTTTGACATGACTTTTGGTACGACCAGATTTTCAAATGCCGTTGATCCAAACACGGGTTCTGCAGGTACATCACAAATCGATTGAGTTTTACATCGACACAGTAAGCGTTAACCGAGAGTACGGATAACGATCTGGGAATTGTTCCGAAACTTTATCGTTTGTTCCAGAACGAATGGACTTTTCGTGCCCGACATTATTGTTTATTGGAATAATATTAATGTAATAATTATTGTAAATTCAATATTATAGTTTTATATTGTCTTTCGTTACCACAAAAGTTTAAATCGTTGCGGAACGGTAAAGTCGAACAAGTACTTTTTTACAACAACAAAACAATGATAATCATTGCAAAATTCTCACCCCCCAGATTGGGTCCACTTCTTCCGGATACATCTTGAAGTACTTGTCGGCCAGTTGTAGCGGTCCGGACGATTGCAGTTTTAGATTTGTCCAACACCGGATGAACCGGAACACCGATTCGAACGTGTACAGGGCCAACCGATCGCTACCGTAATTGGACATGTGACTCATGAACACGTTAATCTGTCAAACGGCACCACAAGGTTATTAGATATTGTTATTGTGTACATTAGGATGGTGGCGCAAAATCCCTTAAGCCACTCACGGGATTGTACACGATGGTCTGGAACAGCTCTCCGCCCATAATGGATTCGTCTAATTTTTTCCTACCGCCCGGGTAACGATCCACGTAGATGGTGTGCGTGAACAATCCGCAAGTCTGCCGCGGTAACACCTTTAAAAAATACACCAAAACGGTTAAATAAAAGTTCTAGCCAAAGAAAGTTTTAGTTAAAGTTTTACTTTTTCTCTCAAAAAAAAAAAATTATATGTACAAAAAAAATTCAATCATAATGCAAGATAATTATTATTATTTGACTGCTCAGCACTAAAAATACTCCATTCAACTCTCCATCTTACTGGGAAAATAAAAAAATCAAATACCCAACGTTGTATAAATCAGCTTTGGCTGTACATATAATTTCCCAAGCAACACAAGTATCTGAAACCCTTGAAAATATTTTGTTAGTTAAATTAAATACATTTTTTTTTTGTCAGTAAGATTATATTGAACTTTTTTGTTGGTAAATCTAACTTCAATTTGTTTGTTAGTAAGATTCATACATAGAAGAAGTCATTAAACTTATTCATGTAAATGGTGGTCTATGATAACTGTTAAATAAAAACTTTGCTATGAATCCAGTTGGAAAATAACAATTTTCAAATAACTTTTGTCGAAGGCGAGTAAAAGTTAAAAAAAAACTTTTATACATCCAACTAACGTGTGAGACACTCATTTTCTCTGAAAATATGAATATTTTGAGAATTTCTTTTACCCCCCCCCCACTTTTAGGCACATATTTTACTACGTTTTTTTAATATTTTGAACGGATAGATGAAAATTGAAAATGTATTTTGAGAGTTAACCCCGACCTTGATGCCTCTGTGTACGAATCCTCTGCGCAGCCTGGCCGGCCTCAGGTGCGGGTATTCCTCGGTCGATGTCACCTTGATGTCCCACACTTTCTTCCAGACCGTGTACAGCAGCTCGTGGACCGGATAAACGCCCGAATGATGAGGCGCCACCGAGTAACTGGAGTTGGTCGGGATGCCGTTGGCCTGGACACGAACAGGAACAGGAGAAACGGTCATTTTGCCATGTATAAAGCCAAGTAATTGAAAAAAAAAAAAACAATCTCTCACCTCGGCAAACTGTTTGTTCAACGTCATCTCGTACTCCAGGTGAGTCTCGTTGTTGTACAGATGCGGTTGCATGTGGTTCCACATGTGACAGAACCAGGTGAACTTGTCCACGTTCTCTGTACAGTAAAAGTTGGGCATCAAATGGGCATTAGTCAGAAACAAATTCATCGAGACCACCAACCACCTCAGTGCTGTGCTGTGACTTACCCAAAATCGTGTCGTCGCCTTCGTTCTCTTCCCACGTGCCCTTGTGAAAGTATTTGCCGGAAAAGCCCAAATTGAATCTGAACCCGGGCACCAGTTGGCGTATCCGTTCTTGGGTTTTGATCAGGTCCTGAAAAAAAATTTTACACAAAATATAACGCTTGCGCGCAATGGTGGAGGGTTGAAGGGTATGTGTGTCTAGGGAGGCTAAAGCCCCGACGATCGCCTAATATGTGTATTAAAAAAAAATTGGAAAATTAATCTTGTGTACCTCTAATTGTTAATTAATTTACAACAATCAATTGTTAGAACTTTGAAAAATACGCCACAGTAGAGATATTTGTAAAGTTATATTTTGTTTTAGTCATTTAAAAGTACTTTTGACATTTTTTCCATGTCTTAGCTCTGGCACACAACCGAAAAAACTGTTAGTCACCAAAAACTTGTTACGCTGTTATCTGACGAGAGATAAGAGATGAGTGATGGGGTTAGGGGTGGGAATGTGAATGGGGATGTCTTAGCTCTGGCACATAACCGAAAAAACTGTCACGAAAATCTAGTCACAAAAAAAGCGTTACAACGTTCAAAATAGTTTATTCCTATGAATTGTTTTAGGCCAGATATAATGAAAACACTAAAATTTAGCCAGAAACTTGATATGTTTACTAGCCACCCCTTAGATACTAGCTTTATCTATAATTCCACCACTACTCTAAATTTATTCAGTACACTTCAACGAGACATGAAAATGCTCTTTCGCGGTTGCAGACTCGGCTGAAAAATGCTCCCTCCCACCGTCTATACAAATATGGTCCTCTTGATAAATATCAAGAGCCCTGTGGCAAACTCGACCTGATTTAAGTCTATCCCCTTGCCCTGTTTACAAAATCCTGCGTACGCCAGTCATTGCGCGGCAGGTCATTTTGAAAATTTGATTTCAACAGATTGCAAAAGGACCGGGAAGACTTACGAACATCAGAAATGACGGGATACATTTTTATGTACCATCTAAGGTGGCTAGTAAACATATCAAGTTTCTGGCTAATATTTTAGTGTTATCATAATATCTGGCTTAAAATAATTCATAGTGAATTTGTGGCCCCTTAAATTATTGAACTTATTATTCATTTCTATTTTGAACGTTGTGAATACAACATATAAGTTGTACCCCCACCCCCAATCTTCATCTTTTACCCACTTATCTCTTATCGCTTTCCCTTATCTCTTATCTCTCTTATCTTATCAGATAAATCAGCTGTTATTTTTCGTTATGATAACCGGCGTCGGTGTCGGTTTTTTCGTTATGATAAGCTTTAGTTTCAGAAGGATAGAGCGGCTTTTCAGTTTACCAACACTACAGATTCCTTGCTGCCCACCTTGTAAACTCATCTAATTTATTCGAAAATTTGTTATTGGGGCATATTGTACTCACGTGCACGTCCTCTTTCCACATCCTGATGCCGGTCTCGCCGACAAATATGTCGTCGATGTCGACCAACACTTGTCGTTCCAGGGAAATGCTCAACAGCCCTTTGCTCAGGTACGACAACGAGTCGAGCAACAGCAACCGGTGCAACCAGAACCTGAGCCCGGAGCCGAACAGCACCCGGGGTATGCCGTCGTACGCGCCGTGGTCCTGCACCACTGTGGTCAGCGGTATGTATTCGCCGGCGGCGGAATTGTTGCTGCCCCAAGCCACGGGTTCGTAGGTGGTGTGGTTGGCGGTGAACACGGACCAGTCGTCGCCGGGCAAACGTCCCTGGTACACGCCACCGGCTCGGGCCACCCTCAGCACGGGCGAAGCAGAGTTCAGCATGGCGTCCTGTCGGCAGCAGCGATATCATTGCAAAACAAAGTAAGTACAGGGTTTCCCGAAAAGAATGCTGGGGTTTCAAACGGCTGTAGGTTGTAAAGTATCGGATCAGCTACAGCGTTCTGGTAGGGCTTGAATGAAAGAGGGAGCTGTCGAGTTTCCAATGACCGCCCACTTTCATTCAAGCGCTGTAGGTCCAATACTTGACGACCTACAGCCGTTTGAAACCCCACCATTCTTTTTGGGACACCCTGTATATTATGGCTGGGGATCAATCTGGGAAAACCTGTGCGTCACGCTGAGCGTTACCGTAGAACATAATATGTAAGTGTGGCGCGATCTAGCGGATTTGTTTTTTGAACGAAAGAACTGATAAATAGTTATTTCAGAAGTGATAAGAGATTATAGGTACTCCTAATTAGTTTATAAGGATATAAGTGGCGTGACACGGTCTAGTGGTTGATAAATAACTATCTCATAAGAAAAGAGAGATAAGAGATAAGGGATTATAGGCAAGGGATTGGAGATAATAGATTAGGTACTCTTAATTAGGCACTTCTAATAAGGTTATAAGGATATAAGTGTGGCACGATCAAGGGGTTGATAAATAACTATCTGATAAGAAAAGAGAGATAAGAGATAAGACATTATAGATAAGGCATTGGAGATAATAGATTAGGTACTCTTAATTAGGTTATAAGTATATAAAAGGATATATTAGGATATATAAAGATATAACGATGTATATATATACATAAGGATAGTGAAATCAATTAGTTAGTTAGGCACTTACTTACTGGCGAACCACGGAAATTGATTTATGAGAAATGTTAAATATTCATAAATATAGCCAGTAGGTAAATCGATTGAGGCCAGATGTTATAAAACTACTAAAAAACGTTTGGCCAGAAATTAAAATTAAGACTATACTATCATCATCATATATCGCAAGGAGATTATAGATGGGAAATAATCATATAGTTATCAGGCCATTATATACATGTATTGGCGTGGGCACTGTATGAAGTGTGGATACTCTTAACTATTTCTTTTACTGGCATACATCGAACAAATTTGCCAGCAGCGAAACGAGTAAGCAAGTAAGTAAGTAAGCAAGTACGAGTGCACTACTCACCCTGAGCGAAAGTCTCGTGTGCATGTACAACGGGAACCCTCGGACTTGCACGCCGACCGCGCGACGTTCGGCCGGCGGGAAAAACCCTAATATGCCCACTTTGTATTCCCTGCAGTATTTGTCCAAAAGCTCTCGGTTCCATTTGTCCATGGTCAAGTACCGGTGGTAGTTCTCGAACACTATCACGGAATACCGGCCTTTGTCGAAATTCGTCAGCGCCGGTAACGACTTGCCGGCCACTTCCATTTTGTATCTGTCAACAGAAAACGGATATCCGGTTAATTCGCAAATCTCATCATACGGCGGGTGTCTCAAAAAGAACGGTGGGGTTTCAAACACCTGTAGAGACATTTAGCGGCAGTCGTTCGGAACTTGACAACTCCCTCTTTCGTTCAAGCCCTACCAGAGCGCTGTAGGTCCAATACTTCACAACCTACGGCCGTTTGAAACCCCGCCATTCCCCGTTTGAGACATCCTGTAGTATCATTCTTCAAAGCCCTTTCAAGACTATAATAATATGGTCGTTTCATAAAGTCATCCAAACCCTGCTTGGCCAGTTTAAACGCGGTCTACTCTGCAAACGACACAGATTTCTCTGTCCCACTATACTATCCTATCCTGCCAATTGTTCTGCCCCTATCCACTAATAGAACAACCACTTAATTTAGTTAGTTTCCTAGCCCTTCACGACATCCACGCTCCTTTTCCAGAATATGTTCTTAGCCTTCAACCCATCCCTATTATAAGCTCTAACTATCCTTCCTACTGAGCGCAGGTCTTTTAAAAAAGGTCTTTAAAATATTGAATTTACTTTTGACCGTGTCAATTTTAATTTGTTTTATATTAATGTTGCCTAATTGTTAAAGTATGTATTTGTGTTTAAATAAAATTTAATAATAAAAGATAATAGTATAAAAGTGTATATATACAGGGTGGTCCACAATGATTGGACAAATGAAATAACTTTTGTTCTAGTGAATATTTTTAAAATTATTACTGATTACAGACATGGATTTTGTCGAGATGCAAATTTAACTTTTTTACCTCTACCAACTGCCAAACTAAACCTCATTAGTTTATTTAGTATGATAATCGGTAAGGTCAGGTTCGTTAGATAGCTCGCCAAAAAAAATACATTTTTCTGCCTTTCAAGTTATATCATCATAATAAGTGACGTTTAACCTAATCTCAATCGTTAGGATTTTAATTAAAGTACTGTGACCTGTTAAGTAATTTTTCTATATTTTCATACGGAAAATTCACTGTTTAACATTGACTATACAGGGTGATCCAACTAAACTAACGTAAGACACACTAATTTTCTCTGAAAATATGAATATTTTAAAAATTGTTATCACCAATCCTTATAAGCCAAAACGGGGTATTTCTGGTTTTTTTTTAATGGCAACATACATTTGTAGACAAAAAATAAAAAAATATTTTAGCGTTAGAGTTTTTTATTTTCATTTATCTGTTCATTAGCTATGACTTTGTAAAGATCCTACATATTTTCTTCTTATTAATTATCATATTTCTTCGGTTTTCCAAAACCGGTAGCACATAAAATGATTATTTAATGTTGAATTGTCCAATTGGCGATAACAAGAAAGTCACTATAAAAGATTTTGAAAAAAATCATAGACAAACACGGTTCTTATCTTCAGATTACTTAGATTACAGGTAATTTATTTATATCTGATTATGATGGTACAGAGTACGGTAACACGTCAAATGATTTTAGTTTATTTAAAACTCAAACGCTAAAATATTTTTTTTAATTTTTTGTCTACAAATTTATGTAATTAAAACACACAAATATTGCCATTTAAAAAACCAAAAATGCCTAAGGATTGGTGATATATTCAAAAAATTGAAAAATTTAGTAAAATAAGTTTGTACCAAAAAGTTTAGGGAAAATTACTGCCTTACGTTAGTTGGACCACCCTGTATTATTATATACTCAGCAAAATGGTAGTTTAATATTAACGGTAAAGGATCGTTTCGTTTTTTGGCTATATAGAAATTGGAAACGTTAAGAAATCCGGATTTAAGTGCTCGGCTTGCGAATCGCTCTCGCCGGAACCAATTTAATGCTTACTTTGTGTGTTTACTCTTTACCGGTTAGTGTTTATTTTATATACGCCAAGATGGGTAGGCGTGGGTCAACAACAATTTTGACTTTTCACTCGTTGCCTTGGGCCACGTATCACGTTGTTATACAGCATAGGATACCGAATAAACAATGTATTTTAACAGAGCCCAAAAGGTATTATATTATAGCTTTCCCCGAGTATTGTGTAATTTGTGCACAATAGCACAAAGTTCATTTAATTTCAATACAATATTATCATGAATAAAATGTACATACCTACCCCCTCGAGGTGGGCAACACCGCGTGTCATGTTGTCAATTGGCAACACTACTTTTCAAACAGCTATTATTACAAAATAACAATATGCGATAAACTAAACACATCACCAGTTTTAATGTGTTGCAAAAAGTAGGACTAAAGTCAGTCTGCCAAGATTGAAGAAAATAATTATCTTTCAATATAATATCGAGGTGATAAGATATCAATGATAACAGCTGTATTTTGAAAAAATATTGTTTTTAAATTCGATAAAATATATTAAATTTATTATTGCTAATTTTTATAAAAGTTATATGAGTTTTAGCTATTTATTTGTATTAACCAACAACAATGCCTAGTCGGTTTTTTTTTGTTTGACGTTAAAGACTTTTTTTTCCTTTATGTGGTCATACTGGTTGGTTTTAGTCCTACTTTTTCCTTCACATACAGCACACTGACTTAGCCCTTAACTTGGCGATGTACCTTTAAAGGTACACAAAATTGATAGAATAGATATTCTAGTGAAAATATAAAAGATATATGGACTGTTTTTAATGATTTTTGGATACATCATTATAGTTATTGATAACATTTTTGGAGATTTTCGCGCGGTATTGCATTTGTTTTTATTTTTGGACTGATTTTTAACACATTTTATTTACAGTTTAAAACCTGAATATAATTAATTCGGCTGTTAGAATCAGATCATGTATGTCTAAATATTTTATTAATATTAAAATAATGTCAATCACTATTATTTAGTTGTTCAAGTATAAAATCTCATTTATCCTAAAAGATATATAATTTTTTTACCCAATTTCGGTTATTGTATCCAAAAATAATACATATTGCCCTAATGGTAAAATACTTAAAATTGGATAAAAATAATAAATAATCAGATATATTTCAATTGTTTTGTTCGACATACTTATTTTTTAAATATGCAGGTGCATTTTTAACTTATTTTCTTTTAAAAAAATGTCCTAAAATCAATTTTTCTTAATTAATACAAATAAACATACTCGTATGCATATAGTTTCAAAAATAATACCTATTCTATGTAAAATATAGATCAACCTTGACAAAAATATATACTATGTTATGATAAACATCAATACCAAGACGATGACGATAATATAATGGTATTATTGTTGTTGTTGATTTTTGATCCTTTTTTTTCGACAAAGGCCGTCGTATTAATATGATTTTAATACCATGTCTGTCTCGTGTGTGTTATTGCTTTTGCCGAGACAGAGACAAAGGCAAGCAAAGGCTTTTATTCGGACTGTGTCGGTCAGTCACGTTTTTCGAAATCACTCGTCCGAGGAATAACCTCACGTATTTCTTGTTTAGCCAAAAACCACCAACACGGCCAAAGAGGATTAACGTCTTAGCATTGCACACACACACAAAAGCATGTAGTTCACTTTCAAGTGTATTAGGTTTTTTTTTAAATTTCAGTCAGCCCCCCCCCCCCGAGTCTAAGTAAATATGTCCAGGTAAAAACGACCAGAGAAAATGACACATGTCCGAGTACAAAAAATGTCCCAAAAAAAAAAAACATATGAAATGTTCCAAAATTTACAAGACATTTTTAAATAGAAAATCACAAATTAAAAAAATGTACATTTTATATTTTTATTTGGTTATTACATAAATTCTCATTTCTCTAGCTTGTGGTATTATGATGTTATATTCTTAATACTATAAAATATGCTAAATAAAAACAACAAAACGTAGAACTATTATCCCTAACCTAAACCACATAATCTATTATGTATACTTAGGTGGCCACAGTACATCATATATAGTACTCCAACACTAGCAAAATGTATTAACAAACGAAAAAAAAACAAATAATCGAAATATTTACATTTTTTGTTACATATTGATCGCCATAAGTCACATTTATATTACTAAAAAAAAACTTTGGAATTTTGTTAACCCGTTTAATTTGTTCTTTGTTAATAATTTTGTACATTTTTGTATATGAACGTTTTTGAACTTGGACCGGATTGGGTTCTTTTTATGTTACCAAAATAAATGTGTAACATTTAAATAGGATTTAGGTTTAAAAAAAAAAAACACATTTGCAATACACAACGTTTTATAAACTGATAGCGCGCGGTTGTTGTTTGGTTTTCAATTAACTCATCAGTATTTTTACCCCTTTTACTACTTAATGGAATTTCAAAATACCAATTAGTAAACGCCATAATTAACAATACGGTCGCGTCACAACAAAAGCGTTGTTGAGGAGTTTTGCCAACATTTTTTCATTGCCTTCTTGTTTTATTTTTTTTAATTACTCGAATAAATAATTACTGGTAATAATATCACAGACTATATTATTGGTGAAAACAGATATAGCTCACTCGGCGTGTAAACAAAAACCATGATGTCACATGACTGAAAATGAAATCACAAATGAAGTTATCGTTAAAATCTCATGATTGGTAAGCAGTTTGTACAATATTAGCAAAGATTAAACACTTCAAAGTAAGACAATAGATTTTTAAATAACGATTTTTGATTGGTTTAAACTTAATATTGCAGCCAATATTTACAATAATAACGTAAACTGATAAGAAATACTGATAACAAGTAGTTGATCAACGATGGTCGACGGTGATAACATTATCTAATCTTTGATAACATATAGCCAGCCAGTTATGGTTTGATAAGGAGTTAATAATATTGTACGCACATTACCTGCACAACAGTTTATGCAACTACACTGATAAGAGAGTTTTTTTTTTAAAAAATGTCTAAAGTCTTAGGCCGATTGAGTTATTTGTTTTTATATAATGGTCTTATTGTAGTGGCGAACGCAAACTATTAATATATTTAAAGAAGGAAGAACTAGCGTTTTTTTTATTAAATATTATTTAATATAGTCATTT